CCGCTCTTCCGATTAGTTTCCGTCTAAGGGCACGTGCGAAACGGAAACTAGGCTACTTCTTTGAGTCAGCCCCCTCAAAACTTAGATAATAATGATGAATAAGATTTTATAGTATTTCGATCGGTAGAATCATTAATACATCTTTCTTATCTAGTTTTGAGGGGGCTGACTCAAAGAAGTAGCCTAGTTTCCGTTTCGCACGTGCCCTTAGAAACCATTCATACAATACATAAGGATTATGACTGAACTCACTTGCAGGATCCTCGGCATTGCTGTTTTCCGCAGAAGGTTCCCTAGAAGCCTAACATTAAATTCAAGAGTCTTGCAGCGAAAGCGTTCAGATTCCTCTAGAAATTCCCCAATAAAATTCAACTTGATGTTGTTTCATATTCATACCCTTCCCATACCATAGCCTTTTCGCTATAGCCTTAAACTTTACTCTAGGATCCACTTATCAGGTTTTCAGCAAAATAATGCACGTTTTTAATCTCGACATCCCAACTGACAGCGAGTGGCATCGTTCCGCTCATGTGGTGGTGGACTGGTAAGTTCGTTTCTCACACTCGGGTTTTTCTTGGTAGTTCTCCTAAGATTTCGCCAAAAACGCTAGGGAGGCGAGGCGTTTGGCGGTCTAGTGGATACAACATCCAAACCTTGAGCTATGTTTAGGCCTCTGAGGACGACGATCCTGTCGAAACGTCAGGCCATTTATAATAAAGTCTTCCACCTACCAACCTCTTTGGCAGAACAAATTACAACTTAAACTGCTCCTTCTGTTCCTGCAGCACTCTTTAAGCGACATGTGGCCGCGCTATCCCGTGGACATGGAGGGGTTAATCCTTCTTGACTACTAACGGTTGCACGAGCTGGAGCTTTTGGTGTGCCTCGCCATTTTCCTGATGGTATTTCGCAACCATAATCGCCTTACCAGGATCCACGAAGCTATGATGGATTGATCCTGCCACAGTTTAAGAGGCGTGATCATCACATTCTTTACGCGCAGCCTTGAACTGCAGGAATAGTGTGAGCTTCTCCCAACCACGAATCCACTGCTCATCTCACGTCACAGTACATTCCCGAAGGCCGTTCCTCTTCAGAAGGAGTGAGGGCGACAGCTCACATCGGCGACTCCAGTCATGCTCAGCTGCTCTTGCCCATTTTCTCAACATAATTGCCATTTATAGTACGCAACATCCAGTCAGCCGGGAGCGGTGTGAGAAGAAAGGCGAGATAAGTCCGCCTCCGGCTACCTTGTTCTACCAATGGTGATCGCTTAGCATCCACTAGGGAAGAAACCAAATATTGGTGGAAACCAGGTGGGGCCATCCCACCTGAAACCGACCCGAAGGTTGCGATTCCAACTGCACACTACATGCAGCGCAGGCGCTGTGACGATCGACTGCTACAGCAGTACTGCGGCACAAGGCCTTTATCCAAAGGAAGAATGGTATAACCTGCAGGAGGTGAGATCCGTAATCCATTCCAAAACACCAGCGTTAAGCAGCATTTGCACGCAAACAACAGAGAATCTTATGCGGGTAGCCGAGATATTAACACAAAAAAATCTGTCTTAAAGTGGTGTAGCTATAGTGGCAGCACTAAAGAGCTGCTACTTTTCTCTGACCAGAGAAAAGAACCCTCCGAATCGTCTAGCTTGGTATGACAGAAATTTGTCGCTACACTTGATAACAGAAGAAAACTGACTGCTTTGGCTCGATGGTGGTACCATCTGTCGATGGTCGATCCTTCGCAGTTGCTTCTTTCTGAAAAATATGGTATGCGATAGAGGTCTATGAACAAATCTGATAAGAAGTATGGAAAACTCAATACTCACATTAACAGGAGCCGGACGAGCGGGCTTCAGTCGTTTCGGAGGTGGCGGAGGAGGAGGAAGATCTCCCAGACTGCTCACTTTCGGACGACGTGGTGGCGGTGGAGGAGGAATATCTTTTGCTGGAGGTTGTGGAGGTGGCGGTGGGGGAGGCGGGACCAGAAGTTGCGCAATGTCTGCGCTGAGAGCCCCGATTTTCTTGGAAGGGAACGTTTGTTGAACAGGTTTTGGCGGGGGTGGAGGTGGAGGAAGAAGCGACAAGATCTGAGGACTTCTGGGAGAACTTTTAGACGAACTCGTTTCAGAAAACGTCTGCTCAAATCGCCTGTATGCTTCTTCGGCGGCACCGGAAAGATCTGAAAAAGAAACAGTCCTCGCTGATGTGAACTGTATGATCTAAATTCGAACTCGAGACTTTCAACTGACCCTGCCCTTTCTCCACATGTTGGTGTTCCATATTCTCTTCAGCTGGTTCGTTTCGTACAACAACTTTAACTGGTTCGGGTGAACATCTATCATCTGATCTTCCTCATTGTTTGCAAAAATTCTGACTGCTGGTTCAGAATTGAGTCCAATAAATCGACCCTTTCCGTTCCCTTTAGGCCTGCGTTGCTCGGCTTCTTGATATTCCCTGATGATGGTCCTTGAAAATGAAAAACGATCTCTTGTGAAGTGTACACTATAACAAAACACAGACTCGCACCTGCGGAAGATGCAGAAGCCTTGGAAGCGGCTTGTTTTCGACGAGTTTCCAAATCACGTTCTTTTGGTTTTTCTTTCATTGTAGATCCAGTGGAATACTTTACCGGATCGGCTTTCTTCAACTGTAAATACAACAACATCCACAACAAGCAGTTTTCGTTATTTGATTCACAGTTTGGTGCAAAAGCGGTAAATAAACTAGCAGACTCAACCTGAGCTAATCGTTCAGCCCATGCTTCAGTAATTGGCTTTGCTACGTTCAGTCTTTCAGACTTTGACGAGCTGCTCAGAGAGGAGATTCTGAAAAGCGATCGAGGAAATCGAAATGAGCTCTTTTTCTTAAAAGGAGCAGGAAAACTTAAGAAGTGGTCTAT